AATATTTCTACTTTTATTGTATGTTAAGGACTGCAAGTTCCTTAACTTACAGACTGAAAACTATGGACTCCCAAGTTTTTGTCCCCCAAAGTTCAGATGTTGAAGTCCTAGAGGGTTGGGGATTTAGCCCAGCAGCACAGAACCTGCCTTGCAAGCGCAACGTCATGAGTTAGATTCCCAGTACCAGAAAAACAACAACAACAACAACAACAAAAATGAAGTCCTAAATTCCAATGTGACTCTATTTTGGAAGCTGTTATGGCTTGTATCTAGATGTCCTCCCAAAATCTCATAGGTGGGGCTTTTCGGAGGTGGCTAGATTAAACTGTACAACACTGGGATTATGGGTGTGTGGTACTGGATGAGTCCACTAATTGGTTTAATCATAGTTCTGGGTGTGGATAATAGGAAGTCCCTCCCTGGGTGGGAATGACAGCAGCCAAAAGGTTTATTGCCTGGATGGGATAAAAGGGAAAAGGAGTCTTGCAGCCTCCTGCCTGCCTTCTCATGGACTATTTCTCCTCTGCCATACCCCTCTGTCATGCAGTGCTGCCCTGGAGCCAGCTGACTGTGAACTGAAACCTCTATAAACTGTGAGCCAAAATAAACATTTCCCCTTTAACTTGGGGGTGTTGGGTATTTTGTCTCAGCAACAAAGAAAGTACCTGAAATAGAGGCCTCTGAGGAATTAAGGTTAAATACGCTCCTAAGGGTGGGACTCTGTTCCTATAGAATCAGTGTGCTTGTAAGAAGAGACAACAGACAGCTCACTGATTCCATACAGATGCACAAAAAGATAATGTGAGCATGGAGAGATGGCTGATGTCTATAAATCAAGAGAAGATACTTGCTGGCACCTTGATTATGGGCTTTGCAGCCCCTAGTTTTATAAGAAAATAAATTTCTATTGTTTCTGTATTACCCAGTTTTAGTTATTCTGTCACAGAAGCACAAAACAGACCAAGGCAGTACCTGTCGATAATAATATTATTTACTTAACAATGACTAGGTGCCTTTCCACGCCAAATGAAATGCTGAGCATGTGTTAATTTTATTGGAGTGATCATTACATCTATATACCTGTACCAGAGTATACCTAAACCAAATCATCACATAAATCTTAGATATGTACAATTTTAATATATCAAGTATACCTCAAATTGGAAAAAAAAATTACAAACATTTTATTGTATTTTGTGTATGTTGTGCCAAAAGCATCAAGAGCTTAGCAAGCATTCTGTTTTCACGCTGTCCTTGTTCCATTCCACCCCACTCCACAAATTAAAGGACCAGCTCCAGATGATAGTCAGCACTGTGCTGTTATCTTTCCCTCATCTGCTACAACCTACCCCCCTCAAGACTCCTGCCCAACGGTCCATCTCTGTGGTCCTCTGTGACCACACTTCTCTTATGCCCACTCACTTCTCTCCTGTGCTGCAAATTTCCCCCCGCCCTACTTCAGCTTTTTCCCCCTGACAGGGTTTATGTAGTGCAGGCTGTCCTTGAACTTCCTTATGTAACTTCGAGGCTGGCCTCGAACTCATGAGGATCCTCCTGCTTCTGCCTTGCAAATGCTGGGATTACAGGCGTGTGCCACTGCTTGTTTCTTTCTCAGCTTGTTTTTGATATATCAATCACAGCTTAGTGACAGTAAGTAGATCATGAAAATAATGGGCAACCTTCAAAAGTTCTGCTTTGGAAGTCTCACATTATCCACTCCCTCTTCTCTGCCTCAGTCAGTTTCTTGTTCTCAACCCGGACAACCACTTTACTCCATCAGGTGTGTGTAGTGTGTGCTCCTGCCAAGAACTGGGCCCCTTCCAGCTCCTAAGGCTGCTTCCTTCCTCTCAGGCTTTGGAAAGGGACTGCCAAGAAATCCCACCAGGATCCACCTGTCTTTGTAACTTTCCACCTGAGCCTGTTTGGTTTTCAAAGAAAATTCTTGGGGCTGGGGATTTAGCTCAGCAACACAGAGCCTGCCTGGCAAGCGCGAGGTCGCGAGTTCGATTCCTGGTACCGGAAAAAAACCAAAATCAGAGAAAGTTCTTATAACTTGATAATTTGAAAACCATGGTAATATTGAATTTTTAAAATATCCTGGAGCCACGGTATCCATAGCTCTTCGAAGACAAACCACTGTTGAGTAAATCAAGGGAGAAGAAAGGCTGAGAGACTCCAGTTCCAACGTGCAAAAATGGTAGTTTTTATCAACCCTATTCTATGTTTCAATCCCAGTTCCAATGGGGATCAATGCAACAACCTCACTGAAATTTACCTATGCGAGCCTTCCCTCACTCCTTCACTCATTCATTCATTCACGTATGTAGCTGCAAGCCTGAAGCTTGCCTGGTTCACTGGCTTGAGGACGGCTGGACAATGGCAAAATAAAGAGCTAACGAGCAGGAATAAACAACTACCTACCACACTGGCCATTTCTCTCAGCCACCAATGTCACCATGATGTATTTGGAGATTTGGTGTCACTTGAATGACAGGAACATAGTCTCAGACCCCACTTCACCCCATTCCTATCAGAAAAAAAGTTTGTGGAGGCTGACTACTTCCCAGGAATGAGTACGCAAGAAAATTCAAAACACCCAGAGAGATCTGGGGTCCCACCATGAATGTGGCCTCCATTTTTCTGGGAAAATGGTAGTTTTTGTCATCTCTTCACCAGGGAAGGAGCCTCTTTACCTTTCCAGCAGGCTGACACTTCCTTCCCCACTCCTAAAAGAGACTGCGAGGAAGAAAGTGGCAAAGCTGGCACTTCCCTTGCAAATCACGCCAGACACCACAGGCCTCTGTTGGCCCCTGCTGGCAACAAATACAAAACCCCCATGGTGTTCAAGGCTCAGGAGTAGCATTCTGGCTCTCCAAACTCCTCTGGCTCCTTGACTGGTTCCTCACTCACCAGTTGTTAACACAAATTTGTTTGATGGGGGAACCTCTGAATCTAAGAAAAGCACGAAGTCCTCTGAAAGACTCAAAAGATAGAGGTATGGGAGGGAACAGAGCGAACACAGGAATACAGGTCTTCTGGAAAGGCTCTGGAAACCAAAATCTGACATGAAGACTGGGGAACACACCCCTTGGAGGGATGGCAAGTGAACTGAATACAGGCATGAGTTTCTCCACGTCAAGATTACATGAATGGGTCCAGAGTGGAGTGGGCATGGGACCTACCAAGTGCAGTGGTGTCTTTGTAGACACTGCTAGAGGTAGAACTAGGAACCTGGCTCAAGGTAAGACATACTCCTGCCCCTCTAACACTATGGAATAAATGAAGTTGCCCCCTAAAACATAGGCCTCAGGAAAGGGCCAAGTCTGCACCTCTAGGCCACGGATATAGCTCAGCGGAATCATGCCTGCCTGGCAAGCAGGAGGTCCTGAGTTCGATTCCTGGTACCAAAAAAAAAAGCCAAAGAGCACAAGTGTGCACTCTCCCCACCCTGGGGATCCCTCATCCCTACACCCTTTTCTTAGCTACTCCCACCCACCTGCCCCAGCACATGAGAGGCATTCACTCTCTTGACTCCAACTTTTCCTATTCTCCCACCCATGCCCTCCACCCTCCCTGCACCTTCCTCTTCTGATCCCTCCCCTCAGCCCTACCTACTCCACCCACTGCCCTCACCTTCCTACCTTTAAACTAGGCCCTTCCACAGGAATGAGAGGGCTTGGGGCATGGTCTGCCTTCTCCCTCTGGCCAGACCGTCATCTCCATCGAGGAGCCCTGGGTAATCATGACTATGGAGGAACAAGAAAACAGCCTGTTGCTAGTCACAGGTGCGAGTCTCTCGGTCCTTCTTTTCAATCCTGGCCTTCCTTCCAGCCATCATACCTCAGTGAAAGGAGTCACTGGTGAGGAGGTAATATGCTATTTTTGACAACCCTTAGGCTGTAACTCCTTAATAGGTCCCTCTTGCATATCTCTGTCTTCCTGAGAAACCACTCTGAAGATACCACCACGTATTACAGCAACCATTGATATTTTCCTACTAATCTATCCATAACTGTGTTGTTTGTAATGTTCCTATCCTATTTCATAAATGGATGTATGTTTATTATTATGTGTTTCCTACAACAACCATTGAGAAGAGTTAATGATTTTTCAGTAGGTCACTCATGTATAGCTCTATTTATTTTCTTTAGAAGCCACTTTGAAGATACCAAAGTATAGTACAACAACTCTTGATAATCTCCTACCTCTTTTGTCTGTAACTCACTATTATTTGTCTATTTGTTTTCCTGAGAAACTATTTTGTAGACAATAATATGTAAAATGACAACCATCGATAATTTCCTACCATTTTGTCTGTAATTTGCTAAGTCCCCCCTATTATTATGTTATCCTTCTTTTATTCTTTAAAATAAAAAAAAAAAAACAAAAAAAAAATAAACTAGGCCCTTCCCTCACCCACCTTCTCCCACCCTACTCCCTTCTTCCAGACTCCCCCCACCTCCCCCTTCCCCCACATCACTCCTGCCTTCATCCTCCTGCCAGTATATTACCCCCCTTACCCGCCCTCCTCCTCCTATCCCACCCCCACTGCCCTCACCTGCCTACCCACCCCTAAAAAACCTGTGCCGATCCCCTTGTCCTAACCCTCAAAGTGCATCCCCCGTGGCCCTCCTATCCCTACCCAATGTCCCCCTTCAACCTACTATCCCTGCCTACCTGCCTCCCTGTAACATCCAACTCCCTAAATAAATCCCCACTTCTCTCTCCCGACAGCCCTGTCTTGCGTCCACTTCCCTTCCCTGCACACGGCTCTTCAGAGGGAGTCAACGCGGGACACCGCTCCTCCCACCTCCCCCCTCCCCCTCTATTCCCACCCCCCTCTCCCCATCTCCAATCCCTTCCCTGTCTACTCCCTCGCCCCTCCCACTCCTTGGGAATGTTCTGGATTTCCGGCTTGACCCTACTGAATCTCGCGAGATCTCACATGAGACGAAAAGGGAAGCCAGGATTGGTTGATTTGTCAGTTTGTGAAGGGTGGGGGTGCCGTCTTGCGGCGTCAGCGTCTGCTCGTTCTATTCGGCGGCTGAGGGAGCGGACGGAGGGCACGTGGCAGGGCCTGTGGTGTGGAGGAAAACGTAAGTTAAAACTCTTCGTTTTCTGCATTTTCTCACAGGGGGACCTTGGCCTCGAAGCCACCAATCCCTTCCCTGGGTCGCTCTTTCTTGTTCGAAAGTGAGTTATCGCAATGTAGCGTTGAAAGGAAGGCCATAAGGGGTGAGGTGGACTCCAGCTAGTCCGGGCCACCGGATGCCGTTGTGAGAGTTTTGGACGTGACAAATAAGGGTGTTTGGGGTTCCTGTTTGTTCTTACTTGCTGGTGCATTTGAAATGGGACCCGCTGGAGGTGGGGAGCAGGGATAGGCGGTTCAGCCGGGATCCCAGAAGGCGCAAAGAGGCGGCAGAAATGTGGTGGTGGGATAGTAGCCCTTGTCCGTAGCTAAGGGATCAGTTGTGGCCAAGCTCAGTGTCGGTCGTTCAGATTGTCCAGGTTTCAGCAGAGGACAGACTGGTGTTGAGGTTTGGAGCGAGACTCCAGCGAGAAGGGTGGGATCTAGGGTTCATTTTCTCAGTGGTGTTTGCTGGGGCTATTGTTTCATAACTGCGTGTGTTAAAAAACAGTCCTCTTGCTTTCGGAGCATTTTGGTATTACTCTCAAACTTGCGGGGAGACTGGTGATTGACACAACAGGACATCTGGAAGAGAAATTGTTGGGGGACCAGAGGCTCTTCTGAGTTGGGTCAGCCTGCACAGAAGACGTCATCAGGTAAGATGGTCGCTTGAATCATCTTGGGTGACCAGAGAAGCCTGTCCTCTCTGTCCTTGTCACTGAGGAGTTAGAGCAAGTCAACATCTTGAGTCCTCTCCCAAGTAGTGCAGAAGCAGGAATAGCCTTTATTTTTTCAAGTCATTTTCCCAGAGAGCATTTGATCTGTCCTGCTGCTTTTTATAAGAAACAATGTCAGTGTGTTGGGGAGTTTATTCCCAAAGTCAGGGTTATATTGAAACCTTTCTTCAGGGTAATCGAACACCAAGCCTAGACCTGTATGGGTTGTCAAGAGAGGAGAGTGCATGACCTCAGGGAGGTTTAGTCTCACTTTCTGTGGGCGTGAACCACAGGATAAGAGTCACTCTTGGAAAGTGAACAACAAGGTTGTGCAACCTAGGCCTCAGGCCCATGGTCTGACTTGCATGTGGAGAAATGAGCTGGGACCCAAACGTCAAGAATGACCATGTACCTGGCAGGGTAGAACAGTGTACTCATACTGTAGCTATCAGTATGCTTGATTACTACCCTCAGTGTAACTGATGCCTCCAAAGCAACAGAGAGCCTGATGTTCAAAGCTCCAGACAATAAAGGTAGTTATCCCAGGGCTGACTGAACCTGAAACTTTGAAAGCATGGGGTAGAGTCCTGGCCTCAAATTTCTTTCCTTAGTATCTCACCTGAGCAGAAAGCAAGGAGGATCAACCAAGCAGAGTGCAGATCACAAGTTGCAGTAGTGATGGCTCAGGGCCTTCTCAGTTTCTGCCTCTGATGACAGAAGGGCCTCTGTGCACTTCTACTTCCCAGATACTGTAGGTGAACTTCCATAAGTGAGATAATTCCTTGTCTCTAGCAAGGGTGTGCAGGAAGGGGAAGTATTTCTTTGCAGGAGTCCCCTTGGAATGAGATAGAATCTCAGTATTATTTTAATTTGCATTTCTCTAATGGCTAGTGATACTGATCATTTCTTTATGTATTTATTGACCATTGTTACTTCTGTGAAGTGCCTATTCATTTTGCGTGCCCATTTTTTGGATTGAATGTTTTATTTTTTTAAGAGAGGTTTCTAATATTTTTGAGTTCTTTATATATTGTAAATATGAGTTCTCATGTCTGCGGAATCACTGGAAAAATTTTTTCTTCCATTCTACAGGTTATTTTTTTAACTCTGTTGGTTCTTTTGCTGTGCAAAAGCTTTTTAATTTGATATGATTCCATTTGTTGATATTTAGAGCTATTTCCTATGGAATTGGGTTTCTGCCCACAAAGTTTTTGCCTGCATCTATGATTTCAAGAATTTTTACTTATTTTGTCTTCTAACAAATTGTTTCTGTTTTAACATTTAGATATATTTTGATTTTAGTTTAGAACATGGTGGGAGATAGGGGTCTAGATTCAGTCTTCTCCATGTAGAAGCCAGTTTTCCCATAAAATGGATATGTTTCCTTTAGTGTATGTTTTTGACCCTTTTATCAAATATGAAATAGCTGAATGTGCCTGGAGTTGTTTGTGCATGCTGTATGCTTTGCCATTGATCCTCATGTGTATTTTTGTGTCAGTACCATGCTGTTTTTATAACTGTAGCTTTGTAATATAACTTGAAGTCCAGGATTGTGAGACCTCCTCCTTTGCTTTTGTTGCCTAGCATTGCTTTTGCTCTTCTGTGTCTCTTCTAGTTCCACGTGAATTTCAGGATTAATCCTTGTTGGTTTTTTTTTCTTTTTTTAAATTTTTTACTTTTTAGTAGTACATTTATTACACTAGTACAAGGTACTAATAATGTTTACATTCCTTGTGGAAATTGGTACATATATATAATGCATCTTAATTCCTTTAATAATGGTATGTACATGTACCAACTCCACACAAGGAGTGTAAACATCATATATGGCAAACATGTACTAATAAAAATTAAAATAAAAATACCCCAAAAAATCTGACTCTGGAGACAAAAAAAGGTCAGTAAATCCCTAGTAGATTTGTGTCTGCAGCCTTGACTTTCAAAGTCTGGAAGATCAACAAACCTCCAGTTCTCTTTGAATAGACATTTTATTTGGTGTGTTAGGGAACACAAATTGTACATGACATATGATACTTGGGGGATTTTTAATGTGGATTTTTTCCCACTTTGGGGGTGATACCACCCTCTTCATAAAGCTGACTTAAACATTTAGGTAATTTTTATGTGGCCAAGATTTTCCCCAGAAGTTACACTTTCAGTTGGTTTTTCTTTTTCTGTTTCATGAATGCATATGAATGTAATTTGATGTGTTGATTTTATAGAATGTTAGAAATCCAATCAGGATTCACTGGGTGGAGATCCAGTAATGTGGTAAGATTTTGCTTTTAGGAAGCTTTGAGCTATAAATGGTAGGCATGCCAGAAAGTCATGTTACAGCTGCTGAGGAGTCAAGGAGGGAGGTGGAGTCCTGGAGCATCTTAGTCAATGTTGTAATCCCCCCTGAGGTCTGGGCAAACAGCCTCCTGCGTGACACCTGGGCCTGGTGAAGCAGGAACTTCACCCAAGGTTTCTGGGCCAGGTAGCCTTTTGCCTTTACTTTCTCTACAAGAGAGCAGGGTTTTTTTTGCCCTTCAGTGCAATTTTGCCCTAATTTCAGACATTTTGAATTGTTTTGACTTAGGTGATTTTATAGACATTTAAAATAATTTGCTAAACATTTTATTTGAATGAAAGACATTTATTTGGATGAAAGACATCCATTATTGGAATTTTACTTGATGGTGTTTTACATGTGTGACCAGTAGTTTTTTTATACTATTTATGATTTGGTGACTTTATTAGATGTTCTTTAAGTAAAAGCTTGCAAAATAGTTTTCACAATTTTTTTTCTTTAATGAGAGAAAGAAGTGAAGGTTTACTCAAGGTATATAGGACACAACATGTAACTTTAGTTAGTTATAATGTACACTTGAAAATTGCTGGGAGAGTAGATTTTATGTGTACTGACCATAAATAAGTGTTTGGGGTAATGCATGTGTTAGTTTGAGTTGGCCGTTCTACAATGTTTACATGTTTTAAAACATGGTATACACCACAGATACATACTATATTTGTCAGTTTAGAAATACTCTGTTGAAGCCAGGCATAGTGGCACTTGGGAGGCTGAGGCAGGAGGATTACTATATGTTCAAAGCCAGCCTGAACTACAAAGTTAGACCCTGTTTCAAAAAACCAAAAAATACTTTTCTGAAAAATAAAAGTGGGGACTTATGAACTATTTGTTCCCCTGTACTGCATGATAGTGATACATAAAATAGTCCCAGAAAATGATAGTCTAGTCTTCACAGAGACACTCTAAAATGTACATCTTTCTTGAAAATTTTTAAATTCTATTCAGTAGTTACACTGTTTTTAAGTTTTCTTATTTAAAGTCTTCTCAACAAAATATTATGGCACCTACTGTCCATATGTTTCTTATTCTCATCTGGCTTATTATTTGTTGATGGAGGAGGAGACTGCTAGGTGATGCGGCATTCCCATTCCCATTGTCCTTGCCTAAACAGGTGAGCATCCTGAATCCAAAAATCTGAAATCCAAAGTGCTCCAAAATTTAAAACTTTTTTATAGCCAAGATGATACCACAAGTGGAAAATTCCACACCACGAAGCTTTGTTTCATGTACATAATTACTACAAATGCTATATAAAAAAATTACCTGAAAGCTATATTTATAAGGTGTATATTATAAAATAGATGAATTTTATGTTTAGACTTGGGTCCAATCCCTAGATAATCTCATTCTGTGTATCTAGATGTTTCAACATTTAAAAAAATCTGAAATCCCTAACACTCCTGGTCACAAGCATTTCAGATGTAGGATGTTCAGTGCATAATACCAAGCTTTTTTTTTAAAGGAGTAGAGTCAGCTTTCAGGCTCCTTAGTACTTACTTCCCAGGGGTCTAGAAGTAAATAGAACACTGGGTGGGTTTGGGAGGGGGCAAGTGGTCATCTTGTCACCTTCTTGACATTTGGCCAGATGCTTGTTCTGAGACAGCTTTGTGGCCACTGAATATAGAACAGAATTTGGGTAAATTGAGGACTTCCTTGCTTTCGTTAGAGCAGGGATGTTTTCACTGAAGGGTGGAGAAGATAGGTTTGCTCACACGTAGCCTGAGAAGAGTGCTTTGTTCCCTGCATGTTTCCTCAGGATTCCTTCTGGAAAATATTCATCAGGATGACTATGGTGGCCCCACCAAGACTCCTGGACCTGGCTGTGCAGAGCCTGCTGAGGGATGAGGCCTTGGCAATTGCTGCCCTGGAGGAGCTGCCCATAGAGCTCTTCCCGCCTCTGTTCATAGCGGCCTATACTCGGAGATGCAGCAAGACACTCAAAGCAATGGTGCAGGCCTGGCCCTTTGCTTGCCTCCCTTTGGGAGGCCTGATGACAGAACAGCAGCCTCAGCAGGAGGTCCTTGAAGCAGCACTCAGTGGGCTGGATGTGCTGCTTTCTGAAGAGGTTCGCCCCAGGTGAGGGTTATCCAGCAGTCTGGGGAGAGCCTTGGGGATGTGGGCAAGGCACAGTTGTGGTCAGGGTGTAGAGAGTCAAAGGGTAGGCTAGAGGCTTCTGTTGGTGCTAGTGAAGAAGCTCAGAATTCTAAGGGTCATTGCTGGTGTCACTCAGAGAATGGGCTTCTGGATGTGAAGGACTGATGAAGTCACACAGGTAACTGAAGGCACATGTTCCCACTCCCACGTAGGCACATGAAGATAGGAGGGCAGGGACAAGTAAGGATCCAAGTGGTAGAGGGAGAATCTGAGGCCTGGGGTTTGGAGTAACTGTTAAGGTCAGATGTTTGTTCCCTGCCTGATCCTGAGACTCCTGCTTTTAATTCTGAATTACTTACCTGTTTTCCCTACAGGCGGTGGAAAATGCAAGTATTGGATTTACGCAAGAATGCACATCAGGACTTCTGGACTATATGGTCTGGAACCAGGATAGGTGTGTGGTCCTTGACTGAATTAGAGGCCGCACAGCCCATGAAGAAGAAACAAAAAATGGGTGGTTTTGAGAGAGGAGCAAATCAGCCCTTTGCTCCTATGAAGGTGCTGTTAGACTTATGTCTCAAGCAAGGCAGGAATGATGACTTGCTCAGCTCCCTCATGAAGAAAGTCAGGCAAAAAAAAGATTCACTACACCTGTGCTGTAAGAAGCTGAAGATTTTTGCGATGCCCATCCAGAATATTAAGATGATCTTGAAAATGGTACAGCTGGACTCTGTCCAGGACTTGGAAGTGAATTGTACTTGGAAGCTGTCTACTTTCGGGAATTTTGCTCCCTACCTGGGCCAGATGGGTAATCTGCGCAGACTCCTCCTCTCCCACATCCTCACAAGTTCCTGTACTTACCTGGGGAAAGAAGAGCAGTATGTCAACCAGTTTACCTCTCAGTTCCTCAGTTTCCATCACCTTCAGGAGCTATATTTGGATTCCGTCTCCTTCCTCAAAGGCCGCCTGGACAAGGTACTCAGGTGAGCATTCGGTGAGGTTTCTCTGTAGACCACAGCAAACCTGCATTTCAGCAACAATAATGAGGATCTGCTATGTGCCAACCATAAGTAATGCAAGAGTAAAAAAAAGTCACTAGAAGTCAACACATTATTTTGTCCCAAGTATGCTGCCATTTAACTGCCCAAATAAAGGTTAGGGGTTGTCTTAGTTTGTTTTCAGTTGCTAATAATATAGTAGCACAGATTAGATCAGTTATTTTTTAAAAAAGAGGGGTTTTTTTGGCTCACAGTTCTGGTTTAGAGTTGAGGAGTAACATCTGGTGATCGCATTCTTCATAGTAGTGTCCCAAAGTGGCACAGGGTGTTAAGGCTAGAGACACTGAATGCTCAAGGACCCAGCCAAACAAGCTCTAACAGCAGACTGACTCTTGAGATAGATAGTCTCTATTATCATTAATCCACTCATGAAAGCAAAACCCTAATCATCTCTTTATTGTCCCCTTCTCCTGGTACTGGGGATGGGACCCGTGACCTTTGCACTGAACTATATTCCTAGATCTTTATTTTTGAGGTAAGGTCAGGCTAAGTTGCCTAGGCTAGGTTCAAATTTCTGGTCATCCTGCTTCAGCCTCCCAGAGTGTTGGGACTACAGGCATGCAACACTATGCCTGGCTAATCATCTCTTAAAGGTTGTACCTGATTTCACCTCTTAGTATCATAATGGAGATGAAATTGCAACATGAATTTTGGAAGGGACAAACCATAATCAAAATCATAATAAGATAGATGGTAGTAACAATGATTCTGAGGAACTCATGAGGAATTTGAGTCTGGGGTGGGGAGATGGGGTTTCGGAATTACATCTTGGGAAGTGATGTCTAGGTTAACTAAAACTATCTAAGGGAGGAGGGCATTGAAGAATGGAAAGTCCTATCAGACATTAGACTCCTGATAATCAGTTCTGCACTCAAAAGCTTTCTTAGCATGGGTCTCTCCCTGCAAACCTGTCTCACATTTCCTCTCTGTAAAGGGTTGTTTTGAACTCATAGGGGAGCCAGGGATATAGCTCAGTGGCACAGAGTCTGCCTGGCCAGTGAAAAGCCCTGAGTTCGATTCCCAGTGCCAAAAAATGAACTCATAGGGGATATGATTATGGAGATGAGAGAGGAGTGGGAATGAGGAATGGTAAGTGGTGCTAGGTAGTTCACTGATAATATAATCTTTTAAGTTGGCCGGTACACTGTTGCTTATCTTGGCTAAATGTTTTCCTTATGCATGTTTCCTGGTAGCCTCATTGAACACAGAGATACAGGTGACTGGAGCCCAGACAGGTAGCCAGAAGAAAGCCTGAGCTGGAAGCATTTTCCTTCTTGGGTCTCTTTTTCTAAAATTAAATTTTTCCCATTTTTATCACTTAAAAGCATTTTGTTTTGTTTTGTTTTTTTTTGAGACAGAGTCTCACTATGTAGAACAGGCTGGCCTTGAACTTGCTTTTTTAGCCCAGCCTGGCCTTGAACTCATGGTGATCCTCCTGCCTCAGCCTCCCATAAAAGTATCTCTGAAAAGTATCTCTTTTAATCGTATCTCTGAAACCAAAATTCAGTAATGTCTTTCCTTGCTTGAGACATGGGTCAAGCTCTTCTGAGCATGGCCTGTTACCATCTTTATTCATGTTTGCAGCATCTAAGAGTATATGTTCTTTGAGATTTCAACCACTTGACCTAGTTACACAGCTAAATAAGTAATGGAGAAAGGACTCCACCTACCCTTGAACTTACCTGAATGCCTCCTTTTCACTGGTGCACCCTGGGAATTGACCATAATCAGAAAGATTTTGGGTTTGTCCCGACCTCCACCCTCAAGGCCTGGGTCATCCTTACCCTTGCCACCATTCTCAAGCACTAATTTCCCTGTCTTTCTCTAGGTGCCTGAAGAGTTCCCTGGAGACACTCTCAATTACTAACTGCCTGCTTTCAGAGTCAGACTTGATGCATCTATCCCAGTGCCCCAACATGAGTCAGCTAAAGGACCTGAGCCTGAGTGGGGTCAGTCTGACCACTGTGAGTCCTGAGCCTCTCCGAGTTCTGCTAGAGAGAGCCTCCTCCACTCTTGAAGACCTGGACTTAGATGAGTGTGGGATCATGGACACCCACTTCATTGCTCTCCTGCCTGCCCTGAGCCAATGTTCCCAACTCACAACCTTCACCTTTTGTGGGAACTCCATTTCCATGGCTGTGCTACAGGAGCTTCTGCTGCACACCATCGGGCTGAGCAAGCTAAGCCACGTGCTGTATCCTGCTCCTTTGGAGAGTTATGCAGGCACCCAAGGCATCCTCCACCTGGGAAGACTTGCCGAACTGCATGGCAAGCTAAAGCAGATGCTGCATGATGCAGGGAGGCAAGCTGTGGTCTGGTTCAGTGCCAATCCCTGTCCTCACTGTGGTGACAAGACTTTGTATGACCCAGAACCCATCCTTTGCCCCTGTTACCTGCCTTTTTAGCTGAGTGCACATATTCATACCTTTATTCTGGGAAAATGGACACTAAAGCTCAGAATGTAAGTGCATCTAAGAACAGAGAAGCCTTAGTTTCAGATGACTTCTGAGGATAAGTGGGAAAAGGAAAGTTGTTATGGTTGGGGGTCAGATGCTGATTTGGGAAGATACGTCCTGTAGAGTTAGAAATACAAATTTGAATTTCTGGAGAGGGGTTTGGGGCTTGGGAGGTACGTGTGGAAGTTATCTTTGTGTGGATAGTTGTAAAGACATAACCAGAAATAAAAGGAGCTTTAGTTTAAATTGTTTTATTTATTCTGTGATATATAAATGACTTTCCCTAGTTTAGACCTCAGGAGTGTCTGATTACTGATTTAATGATGAGGGAGTGAATGTCAATGTTTCACAAAGTTCTACCCCAGGATCTTATGGCACCATGTTATCATTTCCTTTCATTTGGTTTTCTCTGAGGCATTGGTTGTCTCCTTGCTTATTTCTATGAATGTATAGAGAGCCCTCCTGGTCCTCCTCTTGGTCCAGGAAGTTTATACCTATAATTCCATAGATAAATTATTGGAATCCTGTCAAGTTAATTCCAACCTACTGTTCCTAGTGGAACCCATGGTATAAATAAAGACAATAATACATCCAGAATGGTAGGGAATCAAGGGGTTCTGAGTCCGGCTAAGATGATGGTTAACAAGAACAAAAGCCCTTGACCCTGGACCAAACCCAGAATTTATTCGTTTGTGAAAAAGGGAGTGGCTTGAGGATGAGTGACTGGGGGGTGGGGTGGGGGTATGTGAGTGCTGTGAGCTGGGATAGGTAGGAGGCCTGAAATCACCTACAAATGCAGAGAGAAGGATATGCAGAAAGAGTCATCTGCATAACACAATTGAGATAGTATCCAGTGTTTTGTGGTCAGTGTTTCAGGTCTCATGTGTAATCTTTCAAGCCTTGGGAACTCATAGCCTCTTATCTCAAGGCTTGATCCCAGCTGCTGACAGTGGCACATTGGCTCTTAATCCTGCTGTCTCCTCCTGGCTCACACAAGGAAACAGCAAGGGGTTGGGGAAAACTGCCTGTTATCTTTACTTCAAAGACTACACATGAGCACCTCAGCTGGGCCAGTATGCATTGCTTTAGGCCAGTTGAAAGGATGAGAAAGGTCCTAGCCAGCTCTGCACATATTAATACATGGAAATGGGGTTGGGTTCAGCCAAAATGGAGACAATTACTCTTCCTGGAAGAATCACCCAGGTGGTCCTCCACATGGATATTTAATGAGTCAGTGCGTAGAAATTTCATCCTCAGGACCTGACTCACATTAAGCATCTAAATAACAGCACTAAAGAGCACCTAGTAAAGGTTTCCTTAAAGGGTTCATCACTGCTAACCCACCTAAGACCCTGTACCCACTCTTCCCTGTTCCCTGCATCCACTAAGCCTCAGTCCCTGGCCTTCATCTGTGTCAGTGTAGGGCTTTACTGTGCACAAGTCAGGCACCCCGGACTGGAAGATGATGTCACCCTACAGAGGAGCAGGAGTCTCTTGACTTCGCTGGGTCTCACCCATCCCTGTCATGTTGCCCGATTCAGTCCCTGCTTGAATTTAGTGACTGAATAACATCTAAATTTAGGATCAGGGATGTTGTTCACTGGTAGAGCACTTGCTTAGCACATGAGACCATGGCTTCAGTTCCCATTATCCCAAAAAATTAAATTCATTTTAGCAAAACACTTCGATCATATGTAATACTGTGTCACACACTTAGGTGGTCCTATCAGTGAGACAATGACTTTTTTTTCAAACAATGACTTTGCCATATGATCCATGCTAAGGAGGTAATGAGCCATCTCAGATCCAGTGAGATGCCTTGGATTCTGGGGTGCAATAATGAGAAATACATGCCAGGTCCTAGGGACTACTTTTCGAGGTAAAAGAAGATGAATGTGAAACGGAGCTAGGTTGGTGCCACTCTGTAAGACAATCCATTCTGTACTAAAGATGTCATATTGTGGGGTTGGATTCCATGGTTGTTGAACAGTTGGCCTGACTGCTTAGGGAATAGAATACTGCCTACCTTCCAGCCACTACCCGCACAAAGACTCCATCCTGAGCCTAGGATGTTACACCTTCCTGCTGGTATAACCTCCCACAGCCTTCCAGTGATGCACCTGAAGGAAGGCTACACAGTAAGATCCAGGGACAGTGCTGTAGCTCTCTATTTCCCTGAGTATGAACAAGTCCAGTCCTGCTTTGGAGGCCTCTTGGTGCTAGCCACTCATGTTTATGCTGCTGCCACTGGTGGTAATAACAGTGACAACACAGTTGGCAGTTTCCTATCTTGACACACGCAGCATCTGGGTCCTTCTTGAGTCCCTCCCCACAGTAATCCTTTTTTTCTTGCACCCCCTTCTAGCTTCCAATCCTAAACCCCATAAATAACAGCCCATCAGTTTATGGAGCATATTGTCATTCTCAGAGAAAAGAATATGCAGATACTCTTATACCCACTGAATGCTTGAAAAATACGGTGAAGAAGAGTGCTTCAGCCAGGCATGATGGTCCATGCCTGTAATTCCAGCACCTGGAAAGCTGAAGCAAGAGAATTGCAATTTCAAGTCCTGCCTGAAGTCTCTGTTGCAAAACAATTATAAAGAAGGACTGGAGATGTAGCTCAGTGGAAAGGCCGTGGGTTTAATCCCCAGTACTACACAAAAAGGAAGGAATAGGGGAAAGACGAAGGGATAAGGGAGAGAAAATGTCTTTATTTTGCCTGAGATATGCCCTCTCCCAGCATCACTTGACAAAGACCCAAATTACAGGGTATATTCCCCACAAAAGGAAACTGCCACCTTTAGGATTTGAGGGAAGTGTACCCAATGGGCAAATTCTCCAGGGAAGAAGCACAAAGGAAAGGCACTGTTGTAGGTTCATTAGCTGAAGAATAGAGAAGATTAATATACACCCCCCATGGTCATTATGAAGATCAGTGGGTTATGCAAAGTACAGATACATACTTTTTATAGGATGCCCAGATATGGATTGGTCAACATAATTATTTGCTGCCTGATGCAAAGAAAGGAAGAAAAATAAACATTGTATGCTTTTGTTTATTTTAATTGCTGTAAGAAAATAGCACAGAGAGAGTCATTTAGAAGTTCATTTTTCAAAGTACGGAAGGCTGGGAAGCTCCAAGATCAAAGTATCAGCTTAGATATCTAGTGAGGGCTTATCTCTGCTTCCCAGATGGCATCTTGTTGCTGCATCTTCTGAAGAGGATGAACGCTGTGTCCTCATATGCTGGAAGGGGAGAAGGGATGGAAGGGACTGGTCCTTCAATTTCTTTGATACAAGCACTGATCATATTCATGAACTTGGAATACTCATGACTTCATCACCTCTTAAACTATTATTATATCTGATATTAGCTGTCAACAAACCAATTTCAGGAGGACACATGCATTAGATCTTGCTTCTAAAACAGAATGCCCTCAATATGAGATGAGCTACAGATAAACTGGAAACTTTGGACTTCATTAAGCCTTGCCCACACATGCCTGCCTTGGAGGCCTCATTCAAGAATGAATCTGGCAACATTCTTTATGCAAATTTAGTCTTTTTTTTTTTGAGACAGGGTCTTGCTATGCAGTTCAGGCTGGACTTGAGCTCACTTTGTAGCTCAGGCTGGTCTTGAACTCGTAATGATCCTCCTGTCTCAGCCTCCTGAGTGCTGGCATTACAGAGGCCACCATGCCCGGCTGTCATGCAATTCCTATTGCCTGACAAATCTTACTGTTCACTGAGTGAAAGCCTATGCTATGCAGTTGGTTTCATATCAAGTTGGTAGGTAATAACTCGAAGCATACCTATGAGTCATGGTGGGAAAGTGTTCTAGTTCTCTCATTTGTATGATAACAAGAATGTAAAGGTTTATTAACCATTTCATATGTGCCCTATCCTGTGCTAAGTGTCAAAGGTACCTGGGACATAAAATAACATAGTAACTCTCACCCCCAGTACTTGAGAAGATATAAGGGCTTCAGGAATAGATCATAATGAAGATGGGCCATAAAGTATGATTGTGAGCCTTCATAGACTCCCCCCCTGCCACATGAGGTTACTCCACACATACTTGTATTTCCTGCAACCTTCCTATGGTAATGGCAAGAAATACAATTTATGCAACAGGGACCAGGAAATTAGAAAGCCGCCTAAGTATACAGCTTGTTGATTTAGTCCATTTGTGTTGCTGTAACAAAATGCCTGAAAATGGATAATTTATGAAGAAAAGAAATTTATTTCTCACAGCTCTGGAAGCTAGGAATTCCAAAATCATGGAAGCAGCATACTTAGGGTCAAGTGAAGGCTGATTTTTGCTTCTAAGATGGTGCCTTCTTCACACTGTGTCTTCATGTGATGGAAGGGAATGGAAGGCAAAAAAGACTAACATCATGGGAAACCTCTTTTGCATTTCTCTATTTGTGAGAACAGACCCCTTGTAGCCTAATCACCTGCTAAAGGCCTCACTCCTTTTCTTTTTTGAACCAGAAATCAAACTCAGGACCTTGTGCTTGTCAGGCATGCACTTGTGCTGCTGAGCTATATCCCTGGCCCAGGCCTCACCTCTTAATACTATCACATTGGGTTTTAAATTCCACCATGAATTTTGGAAGGAAACATTCAGACCATAGCACTACCCTGTTGTAGAACTTTTATGGTGAAATAATGATTACCATTTTAAGGTAAATCCATTTAATTCCAAGAGCACATCTGATAAATATTATTTCTGCCTTGTTGATAAGAACAAGACTAAGGGAACAAATATATGGGGCTCTTATCAGGCAACCTGGGCCATTTAGATTGAATATTGTTCCTCTGAGTGACCACCATACTAAGTACTATCCAGGATACCAAGTCACCAAGCTATTGCACTATTCAGTCCTTTGAATTTTGAGTGTCCCCCTTGGACAATAATGATCCTGATTGAACAGTAATGGTTTATAGTTCACTCTTTTATTGTTGTTGGTGTTGTTACTCTTTGAGACAGGGTCTCACTATGCAGCTCAGGCTGGCCTTGAACTCACTATCTAGCCCAACTGGCCTCAAGCAGCAATCCTCCTGCCTCAGCCTCCCAAGTGCTGGGATTACAGGTGTGTGCCACCATGCCTGGCGTACAGTTCACTCTGCAGCTGCATTCAACACTAGAAAGTATTTTTTCTTATTTACTGCAACATTGATTTGGTATAGAATGTATTGAATCATGCACTGTTAGTTTTCTAA